CTATATGCGCAACCACGTCCTCTCGGCCGAACACCTCAAGACCTAAATAATCCTCCGAACACATAAACTAATCTGATCATGATATTGCATATAAAGGCTAAATATGCGAGGATTGCTCGGAGAATTTTAACTTAAAACATGACATGATCGGCACGGCTTCTCACACGGCCTTTACCACACATAACACGCATGCACGCCTAACTGAAAATCAAACTTAATAAACATGATAATCTCGATCAACAACCGTCGGGAATTTACCTCCGATTAAGCCCGAGTGACTACTCTCTTCGAATTCCCGTACTCGGCCGTGACCCTCCGCTTGCGTGCGTGCGGTCTGCGCGCGACGGACTGCTACTACGCGACGGGTGCTAGCGTGCGCCTGGTTGCCGTGTGGTGCGTTGTCTGCCGTGGAGTACTACCGCTACGCGTACGGATAATTGCTGAACTTACGGTGCTAACTAGCTTGTGGTAGCCTCCTCTTCAAGTTACTCTAACACTCTCTCTCTCGGCTATATATTTAGGTGTTGAAGATGGAGCTAATGCATGTAGAACTTAAGTATATGAATAACCTATGAGAAAACTTGGCTATATATGAAGAAAAATGGGAAAATTTCCCAAACACCTCCCCTTAAATAGCCTTGACACCGAGAGATGGAAAATCATGGGATTTGGTGGCTAATTCCCTTAATGACACTTGTAGAGAGCTTAAGCCCTTCTTAATTGACTAAGCACTCCTTTTTGCTTAAATATTGCCACGTTAAATGCTTAATAATGAAGGAGATATTGGACCAAATTCCCTAACATATGCCACTTAAGGTACGGCATTTCCTTGAAGATAACTAGCAATTCCATACGGCTTTTGCTTAGCTAACTATGATTAATTACCAATTAATCACCATTAATTGCTCAATTATTCAATTAAGCATAATACTTAATTACCAAAATTATTCCGAACGTAAATGATACGTCGAAAATAATTTCTGGTAATTTCGACTGAACTGACTGAAAATAATTAATTCTGAAATTTAATATCGGAACTAAAAATATAATTTATACTGAAACTGGCGGGATATTAAAATCCTCCCTCCTTAAAAAATTTTCGTCCTCGGAAATTTATAACATAACTGAAAATACATGAACTATGTACATGGAACAAGAAAATATGTACAGCAAAACTGAAAATCTGGAAAACGAGCGCGAATATCGGACTCCTCCTCCCAAGTCCGTGGCGATCCCACTGAATACGCACGAGGGGAATATCTCGATTCCGGAGCCGACGAATCTGACGGTCTAGTACAACTACCGGTCGCTCCTCGTATGATAGATCTGGCTGAACTTGAATATCTGAATGGGGAATGACATGATCGGGGTCGCACACGTACTTAAGCAACATCGATGCGTGAAATACATTATGAATGCCCGATAACTCGGGAGGTAGGGCTAATCGATACGCGACCTTGCCTACTCGCTCGAGAACCTCGAACGGACCGATGAATCGAGGGTGCAGCTTCCCTCGCTTTCCGAATCGCACAACTCCGCGAATCGGACGAACTCTGAGAAAGGCTGGCTCGC